TCATTATTTGGTGCTCCACGTCGGCAGCCTTCTGTATAAAAAAGAATTTGGAACAGAAAACAAGAAAAAAGAGAGGATTGGTGATGATTTAAGCAGCACTGTCCTGTTCACTCATGTCTAAGAAAGAAAATGTAGCTTTTTTCCGAAAAATTGCAAAATCTACAGCAATTTGATATATTTATCAAAATAAATTCCCCCTTAGTTTAAAAATCCATAAAATGTTTGAAAAGAAAGTAGAAAGAATGGATTTAACTACATCTACAATTTCTCTGAGAGCACAATCAAGTTCCAGTTTGAAAATTGTTAGTTGCAGCACAATACTCAAGTGCATCAAATGTAACGTTTTTAGAAATTTATTCTTGAAAACATGTATTACATTTTTTGCTGTTGTTTGAAAATGGTAATTAAGCTGCTTATTTTCAAACACAGCAACTTTAAATGCCACGTTCGTAAACCAGTTAAACCGCTAAAGAGATTTTAACTTTAAACGACGGTCAATGTTCATCACTGTAATACGTTTCTTAAAAATAGGAAAATCTAAATATTGTAACTTCTGAAACTACGTGTAATCAGAAAATTAGACACTTTTTTTGCTTATTAGTTCTCGTAATTAATAGAATTGCACGAAAACAACAAAAAAGTTGTTTCAAATCAGTCGATACGCTGGCACCAAGAACACTTTGTTTATCTATAAAAAAGAGCTACTCAAGTGAAAAAGGCAGAAACGACCAGATAACTAGCAATTTAAAACTATGAACTTTTCAGGAACTGCTACTATCACGATCGTAAAAAGGAGTCATAAGCAGCTGCTATCTGCTATCTCTTAAGAGTCTAGCTTTAAATTATTTTCATCGCTGATGCTCATTTCTGATCTCCCGTTAACATTAGCCATTTCTTGAAAAACCATTGGCATTTTTAAAATTTTTTCAAGTTACCTACAGCCAGAAAACTATAAAATTTGTAGAATATTGCATATCGAAGTAGCGAATATTTTTTGAAACTTATGATCTATGTTTTTCTGCCAAAGTGTTCTCAAAAAGTTTAACTGTCACTTTCTTCGGCGCCTTCTCTCCTTCTGCCTGCAAAGAGCTTTAGACAGACGTGTTGTTTAGGTTGACTGCAGTCTTGTCATTAAGATTGTCTAAAGAAAAATTTATTCAAGCAGCAGTTTTATTTAGTTTAAGAGAATACTGACACAAGTTTTGGCTTTGTGGATTTTATGAGTAGAAAATTTTTGTTTCTGGCTCAGATATTTATTTTTTACTGCTTTTAACACTCACCACTTTTCTCCGATTGATTTTCTAAATACAGTTGGTCGCCAACACGTGTTGAGTAGCCGGCAAAAACAAAAAGCAAAAAAAAAAA